CTATGGGTAGGATATGAATGGGAAATAGACTTATATTTTAAACCCACTGAAATTTGGGGGTTGATGTATTACTTACCCAAATTAATACACTGGCTAGCCAAATAATTTACGTGGAAGACAACGAGTTAGCTTGTGGAAGGAATAATTAAACCAACAAGTCTCAAAAAAGATGGAAATCATGACATCATCCAGTATCTATACAGAGGAAACTATTGAGCTCCTTTTTCAGGCGCATTAGGCCCTTCTCACATTACTAATGTGAGAAAAGAGGTTTAATTAAGAAAAGAGGTTTAATTAACTCACAGTTCCACATGGCTTGGGAGGCCTCAGGTAACTTGCAATCATGGCAGAAGGCACGTCTTCACAAGGTGGCAGGACAGAGAATGACTGCAAGTAGGGGAAATACCAGACGCTTATAAAACCATCACATCTCATAAGACTCACTCATTATCAAGAGAACAGCACAGGGAAAACAACCCCCATGATCCAATTACTTCCACCTGGTCCCACCATTGACACGTAGGGATTATTACAATTCAAGGTTGAAATTTGGGTGGGGACACATAGCCAAACTATATCACCAGGGCACCACTGGCACTATGAATCAGCTCTGTTTTTCATCTTTGCATTGCTTAGCTCAAGATTCAAATTCTTAGGTGAATCCAATTGACTCGGTTTCGATCTAGTGCCCGCCACTTTCCTGATCAGAGGAGCGAAGGGCATATTGATTGGCAGTCCCCAAATGCTACACACAGTGGAGGAAGGGAGTCTTCCAGAGGGAATAACATAGCAGGTACTTAGGATATCCTACAAAGTAGTGGTGAACCTTATACTTTATGTGGTCCACTATTGAATTATTAATTTCGTTTGTTATATTTTTCATTTTCAGAATTTCCATTTGGTTATTTTTTACAGATTCTAATTTTCTGGTGAAATTCTCCACATTGTCCTTCATTTTCTTGAATATTTATAGTCCATGTCATATAACTGCAATAACTTGGTCATTAAGTCTCTTCCTGTTGCCTGCTTTTTTTTTTTTTTTCTTCTTGGTGCTGTTTGTTGGCACATTAGTTAATTTTTTACTGAATGCCAGACTTTGTGCCAAAAAAAGTATATAGACTCTAGATGATCTTATGTGCTCCAGAGATGATTCACCCTGTTTTTTGCTAGGCAGTGGGAGGATAAATTATCTTAATCCTTTCAGCCACTGATTTTACCTGAGGCTGGTTTGTAGTGTTTGCTAGACTCAACCTATTTCTAGTTTACTCCATTGCTAAGATATAGCTCTCCAGGGGTCCCGAATGAGAACCAGGGATAGATGTTTCCCAAGGACACTCCTCCCTGAGAAGTTATGAATTCCAATTATTGTCTCTTCAGCTCTGTGAATCCTCCTGAAACTCCAGTCTACTTTTTAGCCACTCTGCAGGGCTTATGATCTTTTGCCCTGTGCAACTTAATTGGCAGTTTCCTGGAGTGGAAAACTTGTGCTACATGTCAGGCTTACTTGTCTGTGCTGCTTCTCTCTGCAGTTTCATGACTGTTCAAATCCTGGTTGGCCTTCGCTGACCTTAAACTCCAATTTTTGTACTCTGAGTCCTGTGATATTATCTAAAGCTCTGTTGACTTCTCTGCCTCATGGGAGTCATTGTCTACCCAGTTTCTGGACCAAGAATTGAGAAATACCTCAAGAGAAAAACAACATGCAGAAAGTTGGGCTTATTTTGATGAGCTTCCCTTCTTTCTGGGTTCTTACCTCTCAAGCCCTGGCTCTCTGATGCCTTCAAAAAGGAACTTTTTGGGGAGTATTTCACCTGATTTTTCTAGTTGTTCTCAGCAACAGCATTAGTTTGCTATAAGCTGCTCTATCTTAAAGCAGAAGCCCCTTGTGTGGTACAATATTTTAATAAGTATTGGGCCTCCAAGAATTTTCCTGTATATTTATTTATGAGATTCATAACTGGATTAGAAACCAGCTGTTTGCACCACCTCACATAGATAACGTTTACTGATGATGATGATGATGATGATGAGAGTGTGTGTATCAGTCAGGGTCCAGGGCAAAAAACAGAAACCACTGTAAGTTTCTTAAGCAGAAAGAAATGCCCTCACCTCTTTAATGACAAAAATTGAATTATACAGATCATTTCCTTAGATGTATCATGGCATACTTTCAGATTAACGAATGGATAACATTTGCTGTTTTTTTTTTTTTAATTTTTTTTACTTTTTAGTTTGATCTATAGTATGCCGTAGCATGGATGTTCTGTAATGAATGTAACCACACCCCCTATTGGTGGGCATTCAGGTTTTCTCTAGGTTATTTTCTGCCACTAAAATAACAATTGCAGTAAATATCTTGGTGACAATGCATGTTAATGCTTTTATTTCCATGCAAGAGAATTTTCCAAGTATAATTGCTAGATCAAAGTGTATACATATTTTTATATTGTAATATATACTGTTAGAATGTGTTCCAAAAAGTTCCTAACAATTTATGGGAAGGAATTTAAAACAGGGTACTGAGTACTTATAAGATTGCTGGAAGGTCTAAAGGTGTATTTCACAAGCATTGTTCCAGAAAAATACAGAACTGAAACTTTAAGGGAATTATTACCTTTGATGTCACCTGTAGAGCTCTGCCAGAATCAAGAACGTGCTCTTCTCACGTCTGCAGCTGCTGCAGCTGTTTCTGAATGCCTAGGGAGCTAGATGACGACCATGCAGTAGGTGTGACCAAGCGATTAGAAACCAGATCAGGATGCTGCTGTTGTTGACTTTGGTAGGGGAAGCACCTCACTTCCTCTTGATACCTAGGAAGGTGGAAAATGAACACTGTAGAAAACCTCATATATCCAGACAGGACTACTCTTTCTAGTTTTTCAGCCCAATTTTAATTGCCAAACTTCATATAAGTACATCTATTTGGTGATATCTAATCCACATGCCAAATCTAAGTTACAGAAGATTCCAGGGTGGAATGGAAGTGACATAAGCCAATCCATAGTATTAGCACAGTTTATAAGCACTGTATACAGTGTATTGTTAACTAACCACTTTTGCATAAGACTGTGCAAAACACTAATTTTAGGGGATCCTCTGTCTACCACTGAGCCTTAGAAGCAGGGAAAGAGACAAACAGAAGATTTACAAAGCAGAAAATGCGTATGACTTATAAAATTATGAGAAAAGAATTTTTAAATAACACAATAGTAATAGAAAAATAGATGTTAATACCAAATATCTTTTTTTACAATTGATAAATGTAAATTTGAGACAACGTGCAGCTGGTGACAGGGTAATAAAATGGACACTTTTACTTTATTGACCATTGGTAAGAGCATAAATTGGTCCAAATATTTTGGAAAGTAATTGGACAATATATGTTAAGAACATTACTGATATTCGTATACTCTGACTCAATCATTTTACTTCTGGGAATCTATCCTAAATTAACAATCCTAATATACTGAAAAGAGGTTTGTGTTTGAAGATATGCTTTGCAGCATCATTTATAATAGGGAAAATTTGTAAACAACCTAATATATAATTCTAGAGAAAGGATTGAGTACATGTTAGAACATATACACAATTAAATATTCTGTAACCATAAAATAATGTATAAGTGAAATGATAATAATGTTAACCAGATTCTTTTATTTTAATCCATTGCACACTACAAGCACAATTCCTAAGGCCTATGAACTTCTCAAGGATCTGCCAAAGGGGTTTGAAGCTTGAGAAAAGTTATTGGCTTCAAAATACGAAAATAACTGTAAAATCAAAGTCTATAATGTTTAAGTAAATGTCAAACATGTAACTCATAATTTTTATAGATTATTGTATTTTGTGTTCAGAACAATTTTGACACATTGGAAAAATGGTTAGATTGTATCATTTTGTAAGAATTCTTTAGTATATATAATCTCTGCTAAGAAGCTTAGCTGATAATAAATTTCAAAGGCAAAATTTTAAAATAGTCTCAAATTTTTAGCAAAAAATATATTTATTGAACATAGGATATGACTGTACATGTCAAAGTATATGTGATAAAATGTAGAGTGGAGCCTCCAAAAACAAGAGTGCCGTGAGATTAGCATGGTCTAAAGAAATACCATGTTTTGAGCACCCACTGTGTGAGACACTTAGTATGCATCATTCTTTTTAATCCCCATAACAGTGCTGGGAAGTAGTTCTGTTTATCATAATTTCTTTCATTTGAGGAAACCTAAGGCTTTAGGGAAATTAAGTAATTAACCTCAGGTCACATAGCTAGGGAAGATGGAGATGGGGTTTGAAGGCAGGTCAGTTTGACTCCAAATCCTGTGCCCTTTGTGAGAACATAGGTATGTTTTAATGTCAAATTTAAAAAATAAGTTTACAAAATTGTATGACTGGTTTGAGCATAACTTTGGAAAAACACAATATTTAATAAAAACAAAACGTTTTTCTATTTTTCACTGTTCTGAATTTTCTAACGTATTTTTACAACAATCAAGCAACCCGTATTCTAAAAAAAAAAAAAAAATTTTGATCTTAAAGGAGTTTGACAATAATGGTAAAATACCGACATCCTGCGGCTGTGTAGTGTCATTACAGCCTTGGCTTTAATTTCAGTGTGGGCGCTGACTACTAGAGGGCAGCACTGAGCTTTATTCTGGTCACGTTTTCCGGGCTAAATGTGGCAGAAAGCTGGGTCACCTCTCCAGTCTAAACTGAAGAAAAGCAAATCCATTTATAATGCCATAAATACACACACACATGTAAACAAAATAACGTATACTGTAAATATACAAGCATAATACACTTCAATAACTACTTTGCGTCCTAAAGTGGTATAGCAAAGTTATTGAGCATCAGGCCCTGGAACCAAACCATGCTACCTGAATTTGCACCATGGGTCCACCATTTATCAGATGTGTGACTTTGGCCAAAGCACGTAAACTCCCTGTGCTTTGTTTTCTTTCTCTATCTGTAAAGTGAAAATAAGAATTTTCCCTACCGTGCTCCCTTTGGCAGCACATGTACTAAAATTGGAACAATACAGAGAGGATTAGCATGGTCCCTGGCAAGGATGACATGAAAATTCGTGAAGCATTCTTTTTTTTTCCTTAAAAAAAGAATTTTCCCTACCTCCTAGGGATGCTATGATAAATAAATGAAGTAATGCTAACAGTGCCAGTTGAAAAGAGATGTTCAATAATTGGAAATTATCATTTTGCCTGTTGCCCAAAGCTATTCTATTTTTATGAACCAATATATGTCTTGTTGAGTACTATAACTGCTTTTTGAGCACTGTAAGCAGACAGAGAATTTTGTTATTACTACTGAATTAGAAAAAGAACGTTCTGTCAGATAGGGTTAGGTAAAAAAGTGTAAAGGAAGGTGGAGAATCACAGTTCAGAACCCTCACTGGAATCAAGCAAAATGTGTAAGTTTGTCTCATATCCTTTCTTGTAGTTTTCCTCTCTCATTCTAATTTATCTTTGTCCATCACCTCACTTGTTTGCCAGGTTCTCTCTCATGTGATTTCTTGACTGCAAGGAGCTACTTGTCCAAGCCTTATTCTGGATGATTCACTAGAAGCACACCATTCTGAACCTATTTTTATAGCTCATGCCCCAGCCGTGCATCTTAGTCTCCAAAGGAATACAAGGATCCTAGGCTAATATTATATAAGGCCCTTTCCCATGGTGTATGTAATTAGGAGTTCTCTGTAGTGTTTAGTAGTAAAAAAAAAATCATTAAATGCAAAAGGGCTACATCATTTTTTCTTTGCAGCTAATGGTAAGAGGGAAGCTAAAGTGATGCATCTGGCTTCACAGTTTTGTGGAGGGAGAGGTTGCTATTTTGGATTCTTTCATTTCATGGCACCTTAGGAAGTAAGGATAATCCAGAGATGCTGAAATTCTGTAAATTGTTAGGCTTCAATATTGGTAACATAGACAGCAACTGATATGAGTTCCAACAACATCTAGTAGAATCCATGAACATTCTGGTGCTGTAAGTTCATGAGAACACTGAGGTCACCACCTAATCATACAGTGATTAGGTGTTTCTGACATAGCAGTTCTAAAAGGTGTGTAGGAATAATTTTTAAGTTTGTACTCATGAATGGATTTGAAGTATCTGTATAATTTTAGATTCACAAGGACCCCAAATAGTTTTAGATTTCTGTTCTAAAATCATCTTTAATTATACTGTAACTAAAACTTAGACAACCAATGGGAATTTTTTGAATGTATGGATAAATCCAATGAGCCCCATACTGAGATTTCTTTTAAAAGGCAGTGGTTAAGAGCACTGACTCTAAAGCTAAACTACTTATTTTCATAGCTGGCTCCACCACAAACTAGCTGTATGCCCTTGGGCAAGTTACTTAATCCCTTTGTGCCTTAGTTTTTCATCTATACAATATGGATGATAATAATACTAGTACCTACCCCATAGGACAGTTGTGATGATCCATTGAGTTAGTATATGTAAAGCCCATAGAGCAACAAGTGTTTGTGGAACTCTAATCAAAAGAAGCAAATTCACTTTAGAAATTTTATTTATGTGCTAATTCCCAGCTACTTCTACCTATACATTTAGAATCTCATGTCTATTCAGGATTTTGGAGCATTCATTGAATGATGGTCCCTTGAACATCCTAGTCCTCATCAGAACCTTCTTATGAAATACATGCTGGGTACATGTATTTTACACCATGGCACCATGCAGCAGTAGATAGAGAATGGTAACTGGCCCCCACTTGCACCAGTATTTCCATCAGGTCACCCGAAATTCTACAATTAGGGATTGTTCCCTTTGGGTAGTCACGGTGTGTTTCTGGAGACCCTATTAAAGTGCAAGTAGTCTTTGGAGGGTTAGCAGAAAAGGTGCATTAGTGGAATATATCAAGGATAAACGTAAGCTTTCTTGATGCCAAATAGTCTTAGGTTTAAACTTTTTGGCTCTATTACATACTAGAATCAAAATGTCTGAGTTCAAATTCTGTCTCTACTGACCAGTGGCTGTGTGATTTTTGGTAAGTTACGTTAACCTCTCTGGACATCTCATGGGGTCACTGTGAAGATCAAAGGAGATAGGGCTTCCAGAGATGCTTCTCACATCATTGTATTATTATTGTAATACGATTCTTAGTAAGTATTATTATTGCCTAATTTATCTCTGTCTTGGCATTCTCATTTACAAAATGGAAAGAATGGGTAATATCTGTCTTCACGGTTGTTATGAATATAAAATAAGATAATGTACATATAAAATGCCTATCATACTAAAATAAAAAGACTGATAGATAATAACACATGTTGGCAAGAATGTAGGTAAAAAGAACCCTCATATGTTGCTGATGAGAATGTGAGATGGTGCATATACGTTAGAAAACAGTTTGCTGATTCAAAAAATGTTAAACATAGAGTTATTATATGACACAGCAATTCCCTAGGTATATGCCAAAGAGAAATAAAAACAATATATCCATATAAAAACTTTTACACAAAGGTAATAAAAGCAATATTCACAATAGCCCAAGGTGGAAACAGCCTAAATTTCCATCAACTGATAAATAGATAAAATGTGGCATATCCAGTAAAGTGAAATATTATTTGGCTGCAAAAGAAATGAAGTACTGATACATGCTAGAACATGCATGAACCTTGAAAACGGTATGCTAAGTGAAAGAAGCCGCTTACTAAAGCTCACATATTGTATGATTCCATTTACATGAAATGTCCAGAATAGGAAAATCCATAGAGAAAGTAAATTAGTGGTGGCCTGGGGCTAGGAGGAGGAGAGAAATGGGGAGTGACCTTTAAACAAGTATTTTTAAAAGTCTTTGTGGAGATAATGAAAATATTCTAGAATTGGAAAGTGGTGGTGGTTGCATAAGCTTTGGAATGTACTTAAAAAAAAACCCTAAATTGTATGCTTTTGTGGTAGATAAATTATATCTCAATAAAACTATTATTAAAAAACATTTCTCATTTAATATAAGTCATTTTTAGCCCTTAACACCTCAGCTGTCACCTTGGGAATTGAGAACAGTGCCCTGAGTGAATGATGCCCAGGACAGAGAAGGACTGATTAAGGAATACATCTAAAGTATGGGGGAAACGATGTCTCTGTACAAACGTGTAGAGGGAAGTAGAGAGTCTCTCTTGGAAGGAAAGGCAGTGAAGGCACTTAAGGGGAATAGGAGAAGGAGACAAAATTCACCTACTTTGAATTTTGCAGGGAGCCAGCCTGCATCACCTTTTATATTCTAAGCTGGAATCACAGCTGATGAATCTTTTGGCATTTATAACTGTCTTGGAGAAAGGGCGATTGGTAGTTATTAGACAGAATGGAAAAAGGAAAAACACAGAGGCAAAATCTGAGAGTTCGTTTCTGACTTTGAAAGGTAAAAGAAGGCAGTAGTCTGTGGAGCACGGATTTATCCACAGGACTCTAATTGTTTGTTAATCTCTGGGTCATTGCATTTAGGTCAGCAGTAAATCTGCTACAGGTGGGATCAATTTAAAGGATTAGAAGTGTCACTCTAAATCCTAATCCAAGTCTTGGTCTGTGGATGCTGAATAGTGATTTTCAAAACGTTTGCTAACATTTTCAATTATTTACCATATTAATAGAATTTACCAACAGACTGGAGTCCTTGACAGGATTATGAATGCATACAGGATGCAAAGAAATGGACAGACACCCTGAGGTAGATATGCCAGTGGTCTGCATGTGCAGGCAGTAAACTGAAGACATTTGAGCGGTGAATTACTTGGTGAGTAGTTGACAGCTCTTGTTTATAAGAAAGATTGTAGTGGGGAAAAAACATCACAGCCCACCTGTGAGCTGAGATCCTGAGTTACGTTAAATTTACTGCAATATGTAGTAAAAAAAAATTAAAGAATGAAGGAAAGAAGGGGTAAAGAGAGCCTTTGAGATACTTTAAGTCAAGATTTGAGCTCAAAGGCTCTCACCCAAGCTTTCGTTTAGTTTTTCTCATGATTCTTTTTTATTTCTTCCTGATGTTGTCTTATACAAGCTGTTAACTTGATTCAGGCTGTAACTAGAAACACCAATCAATCATTCATTGAAGTCCTCGGCTTGACAAGCTAGTATGAGGAGCCATTTCCCTCAGACATATTTGTCATAGTCTTTCTTTGTACATGTTTAAAGAACAGTGGTTTTCTGTGTGAAGCCAGGCTTCCCAACAGATTGTGAAAACTACCTGAAATGAAATTACGCATCCCTATGGAAACCTGCTTTCCGTGGAAACCTGATCCCATGCAGGTGTTCATACCTGAGTAACCTAGGCAATGGCCCCAGAACAACTGTGTGTCAGTAGTATTCTATCTCCAAAATTTCACACCTCACACACTTTGTTTTAGTTATATCCACATTTTCCATTGACCCTAGAAAGCCGTTAGTGAACTAATTTTTTCCTTAAACCTAAATCAGCAGGTGGAGGCTTAGGGTATCCTCCCCTTCTCCTGCCCCTTTCTTTCTCTCCCTCCTCCTCCCTTCCTCCCTCCCTCTCTCCCTCCCTCCTTTCCTTCTTTCCTCCCTCCCTCCCTCCTTCGCTCTGTTCCTCCCTCCCCCTCTTCCTTTCTTTCTTTCTCTTCTTCCCTCCTTCCCTCTCCCTTCCTCCTCCTTCCTCTTTTCCTTCCTTCTCTCCCCCCTCCCTCCCTCCTTCCTTCCTTCCTTTCTTCCTTCCCTCCTTCCTTCCTTCCTTTCCTTCTTTGTTTTTTTTAAAGAATAAGTTTCCTTCTGTACAATCTTAAACTGGGGGATCAAGACTAAATCCTACAGCAACATAAAACTTTCTGGTTATCCAGGGAATCATAACAGAGTTAGAAGTATCACCAAATGCATGACATAGATATCAGAAAAAAGTGTAAGGACAGACCTTCAACTTGGGGACAGTTTATCTTCCAGTTAACAAAGGGAAAAGAGCAACAGCAACTGAGAACGAACGGCAAGGGGCACTTTCTGGCATGTGGTCTGAGGAGGGGCCTGTGTTGTAAATGTACAAATTTGAGAAATGGTATAAAAAAGCCAACTTTTTAGAATTTGGGGTGGGTATTGTGCTTAGGAGTGAGTGATCTGTATTATAACACAAAATGCTAGCCTTAAACCTAGAATGGACAGTTAATTACTTTGATCTGAGGGGCAGCAAAAGTCTCTTCATTTTTTTTTTACTCAAAAAGTGGTCCATCCTTCTTTGCCTACCTGCAACTGATGCTTGAAGTAGACATTATATTATTAGAGATTAATTATTTTGGCATAAACTTCTCCCCACTCCTTATGAGAAAACAAACACCACTAGTTGGGGAGGAATAGAGGAAAGTGTCAGATATTATCATTCATTTACATATTAGTGCAAATTGTTTAAAGAGTTTCTTTCTTTAGAGTTGTTTTTCTCTCCATTAACGAGAGGGCAGGGAGAACTGTGCTAGAGGTTTGAAGACAACTTTACCCCTGGATAATTTTGCCAAAGGTGGGTCCTGATTAAGGCCTAAAATAGAGCATTTTAAAGAACATAGTAATGCAAAACATTTTATTCATGCTCCATATTTCCTCTTCAGTATTCATTCAACAAATGTTTGTTGGGCACCTACTATGTTTTAGGCACTGCGAAGGGCACTGGAGATTCAATGGTGAGCAAAAGCAAGCAGGGAACTTACTAACTTGGCTTTCTCCCTCCTGAAGTATATTCTTGCTTTTCTTGTTTAGATTTCTCGACCAGGTCCCCATACTCTACAATTTGTTTTTTCTTTTAGTTAGTCTTAGCATAGACCAGCTTCTCAATGTGTGTTTGCTAATAATGATAATAAGATAACCAGTGATTTTAGAGGCCCAGGTTTTCAGTGTAGCATAACTCTAGCATCATGGGGGAGTGGGGTCTTTACATCAAAGATGATTGACAGAGGATTCTGTGCCAGAATTAAAAATGATCAGGAACTGGATCTACCAGAAAGAAGTAAGAGCAAACTACTTTGGGGAATCTAACTTTTGTAAGAAGCTAATTAGAACAGCAAAGACTAGAAAATGTTAAGTGAAGTCAGCAATTTCAGAGTGCAGAGGTTTAGAAAAGTAACTGCCTAGATGAAGTACAGAATCCCAGTATGAATGGATGTCAGAGAAGAAAGGGTCTTGTAGATCTGCTAGTCCAGCTAAGGGTGAAAAAGGAGAGACCTAGAGTGAGGAACAATCTGTCCCAGTTACATGGTGAGTCGGTGCAGAATTGGGTCCAGGATCCTGGCCTTCTGATTCCCTTTGCAGTCCTCTTTCCAAATAGCAAGGAAGAAGCAGTGTTTGTTGAAACACAACTGTGTACTTAGCATTCTAACTTATTTAATTCTTTATCTCAAACTGATTACATTAAATTTACCCCCATTTTGTGGATGAGGAAGTTGGAAATTGGGGCTAATATGCCGAAAGGTGTACCCTCAAGATTTCCATTCTCAAAGATTAGGATTACCTTTATATAGAATATAATGGAAGTGGTGCTCCCCACCCCCAGCTGTGCAGCATTGTGCCCCGAGTGAGGAGTAAGTGGGCAGTCCCAGGGCTAGGCTTGAACACTTCTGGTTGGATAATGAATGTCTGATGGCTCCTCCCAATTTACTCTGCCCCTCCCCAATTCTACCTAATTTATTCTTTCATGGGGTACCGAGGAACTTCTTTAAACTGCAAATGAATGATTCAAATTCAGTTTGAGTAATATAGAAGGTATAATAATGGTGGTCTCATTGACTTCATAGATGAGGGGTTTTCTACAGGACTTTCATCTAGCACAGTGCTTAATCAGCTGGAGTGCAAATCTTCATTCTACTATGGTATGCCCTTAGACAAGTTACTTACCCTTTCTGAGCCTCAGTTTCATTATTTGTAAATAGTGATGATAATAATACCTACTTCAAAGGACTGTGATGAGTCTTTTAAATTCAGTTTTTAAAATGAGACAATACAGGGAAAAGGTGTAGCCTAGAGTTTGACACATAGCAAGAACTCAGTAAATCTTAGACTTTGTTATTCTAAATGCTGATTTCTGGATTAAATGCACAGATACTGGAAAAGAAACCAGGAAATGAATGTGTTTGGGGAAGAAGAGGCAGTATGTCGGCTTTGTTTCCCTGTGGCTGTGAATAGGGGTCTGTTTCCCATATAGAGCTGTCCTCACTGTTTACCATTCCTAATGGTCAAAAGAGTGAGACCTATAAGGACGGAGATATCAGATAGTTCAATATCCTTGTCACAATACAGAACAGAAATAGAGATCCTTCCCATGTGACTCTAGATAAGGCATGGCTCCTACAGTGTCCTGGCTCCAAAATTTTGCCATGGAAGAGAAAAGAGGGAGGTTGGAAGAAGGTGGGAAGAGAAGCATGTGGCTCTCGACTACAGCTCAGCCTGTAGTTCTGGGTTGGGAGCTCTTTGAAGCCTGGGTCAACGCCTCACGTTTTATCCATCCTGTATCTCATTCTCATGCATTCAACATAGTGCAAAGAACAGATCTATTTTTTTTGGAGGCAGGTTAGACTAGATTATCTTTGAAGGCCTAGGAATAAATTTGAGGTTTTATGCATATATTCAGCCCAGAACCATCTTTCCACTGTCCCCAAAGAAAAGTTGGAAGTCCTCCCCCATCCCACACAACCCTCAGCCACTGGCTCATGTTGTTTTGTGAGCTGTTGGTTACCCGAAGACTTTCTTGACTCTCATTTAAACCAGCTTTCACCAATATAAGAGTGTTGGTGTGTATTATTTGTGGTAGGGCTTTAAGATTCACTAGATATGCCTCATATTGGTCTCTTCAGGAGTCAAGGTTTATCATAAAATTAGGAGTGAGAGTCAAGATAATAACCAATAGGGCTGGCACAGACAGAATTGTTGCTGCCCATAAGCAACCAGTTGTGCCTGACTGATGCACAGCAGTGCTGATTATCAGCCCTGAAGACAGCCATGCCATTATTTTGATCTTTGATAAGAATTAAGGATTTACTAAGGATTCACCTTATTAACATCTTTCTGACCTACCTTTAAGTGTTGTGGGGTCTCAGGGTTTTGCCCTTTGTCTTCTTTTTTTACTCCACCAGAGGCATGTTTTAAAACACCCTCTATCAACTGATTACACTCAAATTTATAACTCTTGTCCAGCTTTCTATTAAGAGCTCCAGTATGTGATATTATCTACTGGATATTGCTACTTGTTGACCAATTCAACATCTCTATAAGAATGCATTTGTCTCTCCCACCCCCTTCCTCCAATGTCCCCTATCTCAGAGACTTGTGCCATTTTCCAAATGGTTCCCTAGGTCTGAAAAGCTCAAAATCATCTTAGAGTCCTCCTTTTTTTTCACTTACCTTCTACATCTTGTCAGTCACCAAGTTCTTGTTATTTCTATTTTTTAAATCTCCTTGATATTTTTAACCTTGGAGAAAATGATCCTATTCCCCTATGTCTTCACTACTGCTCTCTGGGTCTGTCATCATTTCTCATATGGTTATTATGACAGACTCCATACTGGTCTCTTTGCCTCCAGTCTTGCTTTCTTCCAACTAATTCTCCACATTGGTGCTAGAGTGATCCTTTAAAATGGAAATCTGATAATAGAGTTTCTCTGCTTAAAGCAATTGGCTACATGATTAAATCATGGCATATCTTGGTGATCTGGCCCTTGCCTTCGCTGACATTACAAACTCAAGCAGAACAAATGCTTTAGAATTCCAAAAATCCATGTATATGTGTATATTTATATGTATATATATAATGTATTATCTATCTATCAGTCTATGTATCTATGTGTCCTTTACCTCTGAGTCTTTCTGCATGTTGTTTCTTCTGTTTGGAAGACTCTTAGCATCTTAGTACCAAACTACTCCTACAACCCCATTCACCTGGCTAACTTTTTTTCAGTACTCAACCCAGAGAGACTGCTCTTCCTCCCTCCTCTCCTCCCCTGAAATCTGGGTTTTGGTGATCCTCTCTGTCTCTCTGAGCTACCTCAATCATAGCACTTTTTACTCTGCATTGCCATTATCTGTTTACATCTATTTCTCTCCAAGAGAATGGTATGGGAGAGAAAAACGGACATATTTAAAACTGTAATAATGATAATACTATGTCTAGCATAATGCTAATGACTTGCCAGGCTCTGTTATAAGCACTTATTGTGTGTTAACACATGTAATTTTCACAACACTGTAAGGTGGGCAGCTATTACTGAAGTTGAATCAATAGGAATTGGTGATGGATTGAATGTGGGGGAAGAGAAGAAGGATTCTCAGTGATTTCCAGTTTTCTGAAAGAAGCAAGTGGGCAAACAGTGGATGGATGTGCCATGTACCGAGATAAGGGATACAGGAAGAGGAGTTTTGTCAGGATGGAGGAGAGAAACTTTGAGTTTGGGCACTACCATTCCTTTGCCATTCTTTCACAACTGATTATTTCCGGAATCTTCAGAAATAATGTTGGTAACAAACCTTTTCTTCTGATTGACAGGCATTTGGAAACAACACTGTCCATCTCGGGGGAGCAGAATAACTCTCCAGTATCTCGTCATCAGCTTGCTGGNTCACAACTGATTATTTCCGGAATCTTCAGAAATAATGTTGGTAACAAACCTTTTCTTCTGATTGACAGGCATTTGGAAACAACACTGTCCATCTCCTGGAAGCAGGAGGGCTATGTTCCTGGGACTCTGTAGTTTTTCTTGCCTTGTGCTCTGGTTTCTGGCTTTCAGGAAACTGCTGGGACACCATGGCCTTGCATCCTCCAAGTTCCTGTGGTGCTTGTGCCTCCTGGCTGTCATGTCCCTTCCGCGGCAGGTGTGGACACTCCCCTACAAGATAGGTGTGGTGGGCCCTTGGGCTTGTGATTCACTGTTTTCAAAGGCCCTGCCTGAGGTTGCTGCGCAATTAGCCATTGAGCGAATAAACCGGGACCCATCTTTTGACCTGAGTCACTCTTTTGAATATGTGATTCTCAATGAAGACTGCCAGACTTCGAGGGCCCTCTCCAGTTTTATTTCCTACCACCAGATGGCCTCAGGATTTATTGGACCTACAAACCCTGGTTACTGTGAGGCAGTCTCGCTCCTGGGAAACAGCTGGGACAAAGGGATTTTCTCTTGGTCCTGTGTGAATTATGAATTAGACAATAAAAATACCTACCCGACATTTTCTCGGATACTCCCTTCTCCCATCCGGGTGCTTGTAACTGTTATGAAATATTTCCAGTGGGCTCATGCTGGAGTCATTTCCTCACATGAAGATATTTGGGTGCATACGGCTAATCGAGTAGCAAGTGCTCTTCGGAGCCACGGCTTACCTGTAGGGGTCGTCCTGACCACAGGACAAGACAGCCAAAGCGTTCGTAAAGCCCTCCAGAGGATTCACCAGGCAGACAGAATTCGCAGTGAGTGCTTTTTACGGTTGAAATTTAAACGTGACTTCAGGGAAAGAGATTAAAACCTCCAAAAGGTTTCCTCCCCTCATACCTTAGGGTAGCACATCCCTTCCCTCTTCTTTAAACATTTGCCCTCTTTCATTCACACTCAGGTCCCAAGACTGCTCTGCTTCAGCAGAGTCTATTTTATGAACTGAATAAAGGTGCAAAAAACTCTGTGATTCAAATGCCTGTGGATGCTAGTGCCCGCTCTCGGCACCTGAGTGGAGAAGAATGGTTTCAAGAGCAATGTATCCATATATCCTTTCTTTCTGCCCTTAGGACCCCCATAGCTTCTGACGTGTCAAAATGGGGTGGGGAGGTGAGTGTCTTCTTATGGCTTCATTTTTGTTGGTTCTAGTCACTGAGGAGAGATTTACTTTTGACTCCTTTCTGGGTACTTTCCTTCAAAGGTACCCATTGTCCGTATGGGACACTCATTTAGAATCTGTCTTCTCTGGACTCCAAAATGTCCATACCTTCTGCCTCTTCTCAAAGCAGGGCTTTTCTTTCTGTAGCACACAGCTAATTGCTATGGAGGGCACCTAGCTGAAGAAGGAAGGTATATTAAAATAAGAAGACTGTCTAAATTTTAACAATTTCCTCTTCCTCTGGAAGGTTAATGTTCAAAGATGATTCTTGCAGAGACAATAGACAAATGTGAAGCAAAGGACTTGATCCACTAAAGCTATCATTCTCAAAGTTAGGTTGGTGGGTTTTGGCAAAAAGGGGCCCTTCCTGGTCCTCTTGAATCAGATCTCTTTTACTTACCGGTATGGCAAGCCCTTGTGACACATTGTTTTGACTTTTTTTCTATTCCAATTTTTTAATCTCCATTTTACCTTCCCCTGGAGATGGCTATGATTCATGCGAATGCTTCTCATTCGCCCATTGCAGCCACTCTACCACTTTAGGATGGATATCTCAGAAACTATTTGACAAACTGATTCCTTCAAGTATTAGTCCTTGTCCCAGTCATTTCCTTAACAATGAGTTTGTTACAGAGTGGTCCAGCTAAGGCCTGGCCGATAACCAGAAGCCTGTTTTAAATTTTCAGGTGCCTTCAGTATTGAACCCTTAATTACGATCATTAAAAGAGGATGAGGGCAAGAGTAGTTTTTAGTTCCAGAACTACAGTAATCTGCTTCCAGCTCCAGTGTACAAGATTCCATGATGTTAAGCAATTAGTGTGGTTCTTATTACTTCATAATAGAGCTTGATACTTTCAAAGCAGAGCATAGAATTATTTTGAAAGATGTAAAACCATTTCCAGGAAGCCATGCCAGAAACAGGTTAATATATTTAGTATCATAACTTTGTAATATGTTACAAATCTTAATTATGCCCAATGTCTCCCGCAAGTTTATATTCCATGAATGTTTAACATCCCACCCATTTGTATACTTTGAAATGACATTTTGGCCTCTACCATAAAATGTTAAATAAATCCAGGCCCTGAAGCTCTTTGGGCTGTCAGACTGAGAAGAATTAGGATTAATGCTAACCATCCACAACCCCTTTGAAGCACGGAGGAAGCAAATGCACATATTATTGCCTTATGATTAGAGATTCCTTTAGGTCAAGGGTTCTCAGTTTGGCTGCATGCTAGAATTACCTAGACATCTTTTCAAGACTACTGGTACCACAATGCCACCTCCAGAAATTCTACTAGAATTGGTCTGTGGTGGGGCCCAGCAAAGGTATTTTAAATAGCTTCCCAGGTGCTTGTAATGTGCAGCCAGAGTTGAGAAATGCTGCTTTAATTTAATAATAATGCAAATAACTCTTTCTCACATTAAGATCCCAGTCATTGTTTTAATGTGACTTCTCTTAGTCAGATTGTCTTCTTTATTACAGTACGGATCTGCCCACCAAGGTAATGAAAATGTTGAGATTGCGGGGAACAAAATCTAGAGAGAATGGTTATGGAGCAAAGGAAGACCTTGAATAGCAAGGGCAGCAACAGGAAGTGGAGGAGGGATTCAGAAAGAGAGATAAAAGAGAGTGACGACAAAAGCTCTTCACTCCAGGATTTTCTCTCTGGTTTTTTTTTTTTTTTTTTTTTTTTTTGACAAAACATAGGCAGATTCAGATGAGACATGCTGGGATCTCAGTGACGTGAGTCAGAATGGGATGGGGTGGGGGCAGGGGAACTGAATCATTTGTTGGGTTGTGGCCTGAGTACAACCTCAGGCAGCTCATTGTGCTTTGTTCAAAGGGGTGTGTAGTACCCATATTTGGTACAGCCACATGTCTGTATCTGAGGGCACGCCAGCTGGTGGGTGAGGTGTGACCATGGGAATGGTGGAAGAGGAATGAGTGTTAAAGTAAGATAGATATTGCCCTTGTTGTCCACTTGATCATTTGTTGAAAACAATGCCCCAGCCCATGGGAACATGTAAAGCAGGATCCAGAGAATGAACAAAAATAGATTATCAGAGTTTTAGCCAAGTTGCCTAAGGTTCAGGGCACATCTTTGGTCCTGTTAGAATATTGGAGATTTGGTGAGTAACTGAGCCAGAAGCCAATGAGTACAGATTGGGTCAGCATAGCAGTGAGGAAGACTGCAACACACCATGGGTAGCACATACCAGATAAAATCTTTAGCTAATTTTCCAGTCCCTCTCAACTACTGGAACTGAGGCTGCTAAGTGTTCCTGGCTGTTATCTATCTGGACTGAGAAGAACTAAAAAGACACTAAACTTTGTTAGGCATGCTCTGAATGAAGAGATCACCTAAATAGACTTTGTGTGAGCAACAAGGCTGTTTATTCAACAGGGTGCGAGTGGGCTGAGTCCATAAAGAGAGTCAGTGGAGGGCAGTGGGATAGGAGTTGCTTTTATAGGTTTGGGGTAGGCAGTGGATAGTTACAGAAGTACAGTTCAGGGCGGATTTTTGCAAGCTGGGGGAGTGTTGCCAGGACAGGGTGTCACAAGGTCCAAGGTCCAGTGTCACAAAGTTGGCTTATCAGTTGAGGCAGGAATGGTTGAGGCAGGAACAATGGCAGAATGTTATAAGGTTGGTTAATCAGGCCAAAGAGTCCAGTGTCACAAGGTTGACTCAGACTTTCTTGCTCAAGGAGTCCATCTGGAGGTGTATGTGCAGGTGACAGGGGTCACCATGACTTGACTTCTGCAGTCAGTTCAAAAGACCTTGCAAACTTTTTGTGTGACCTCAGCTGAGAAAGGTTGAGGAAGGCAGAACCTGACCTCTTCCCTATTTTGCTGGATATGAGGCTACTTTTTAACACTGTGGACCCACAAGCAAGCCTTCAGAGAGGACACTTTGTGATGTACAAAAGACGGTGGAAAGGGACCCCTTCTTTTGGAGGGGCTTGGAAATATTTGGAAGTAGTAGAAATAATTGGAAGATTGATTTTTTTTTTTTCTGATCTGTTTGCAAAAGCAGTGATGGCATTGCCACATGGCAGTGGCCGTGGTGGTCATAGTGATGGTGGTAGTGTGGTGAAAGGGGAGACAGGAGCAGCCTATTACTGGCTGGTACAACACTTCTGATTCTTATAAATTAATATTTCCAATTAGTAACTATCATTGGCACCTTATTGGAGTTAGAGAAAGCATCTTTCTCAGAAACAGGTCTAAGTTGCACTTACATATCAATGCAATGATATATTTAATAGTAGTTAATAATAGCGATAATAATAGTCATGAGCTCTTGGGTGGGAAAACAGCAGAGGTGTTACTATACGCTGCCATAGAGACAATAAAAGCAACCATACTATTACTTTATGTGTAAACACCTCTCTACATTTTAAAAGGCATTTGCGGATGGATCTCATTTAATTCTCAGGATTATCCGGGAGATAGGCATTTTCTTTCAAGTTTTATAATAACTGTGAGTCTCACAGTAATAAGTAGGTAGGTGTAAGCGCTATCAACCAAAGAAGGAATAAATAAAGTCTCAGAGTAGGGGGATTCAGTCTTTCCCAGATTCTTAATTCTCTTAAGCCTTGGGAGCAACTACCAATTATTTTTTCTTCTGACAAAGTCAAATAGGATAGATATTAATCAAAGACAAAGTCATTAATTTATAATCAGGGCTGCTGTGCCTGGTTATGTAGGTTGTGCCCTGCACAAGGAAACCTACCTGATTGGGCTTGAGGGCCAAAATTCAGCCCAATCCCTGCTCCTCAAATCATGAGCCCTGTTGGAAGTTTTTGTCCAATGGCACAAAAGGGCATTTACTCACCAAACATAGTACCTGTGGGATTGCATTCACTCAGAAGGAGTTCCTCTTCTAATTCCTGTGAAGGCTAGCCGGAGGCCTTACCTGCAGCTCTTTAGAGAACTTTCCAAATGGCTATTCTAAGCCCTCCCTTCTTCTCCTCATCTTCTTGCTGATCAGCCCTGTGCTGGACTGATTGTGTAAGCCTTTAAATTTAAGCTTACTGGGATGTTGGAGCATTTGGGATTTCCTTTCAATCCTTCCAAATTGGGAATGCTTCATTACAATATGATGTTAAGTAAATATGACACCATTGGAATAGCTTTCTCTTGTTCTTCCAAAATTAAATATCTGATTGCTATCTTATTGCCTGGGACAGAATGAGTTCTTCTCATTTATTGAAGATTCTTGTACATAAGAAAAAGATAGCAATAAAAATAATGGTAATAGTTAATATTTATTGGGAGTTTACTATGTGCTAGTAATTTTTCAAGGGCTTTGTATGGACTATGTCATCCAATATTGCATCACCTCTATTAAGTAAGGACAATTATTGTTTATCTACTTTATGAATAAGACTTCTGAAGCTAAAAGGGGTTAAATAACTTACCCAATGTCACACAGCTAGTGAATGAGAAAGCCAGAATATATATTCCTAGTAGTCTTTAGCAGTGGCTCTCAAATCTCAGTGGACACCAGAATCCCCTGGAGGACTTATTAAAACAGATTGTTGCGTTCCTCCTCCACAGTTTCTGGTTCAGGAACACTGGGGTGGGGCCCCAGA